TTGTTGTTTTTTTTTCTATGCTTGATCGTTTTTTGGTTTACTAGGTTTATGGAGTAAAATTATATATATATACATAATAATGAATTGCATATTATGCAACTCGTAGTGCAATGCAGTGTCAATTCATTTGAATTAAAAACATGAGCATCAATGTTGGATAAAATCTCACATCGATACTCATATCTACCTCGGACCCAGGTGAAATTTGGCTTTTGTCGAGTTGAATTGTATGGTATGGGTGTTGAATCCCTACTAAAGCTCATATGTTATTTAAGGGGTGGAAGCTCTGAGTTAAACGTCCATCTCTGAAATGACCGAACCAAATAAGAAATATGTGTAAAGTGCCTTTCCCAAGGACATGTCGACCGAGCGAGGCTCGAACCTTCGTTTGTTGAGCTGAATCAGTCAATATGAATCAGTGTATATAGTACACAAAACTATTAAAAACAAAAAGCTTCACCTTTGTAACAATAGTACTTCTTATCACCATTGTTTACAGGCCGAAGGGCTAGAACCCAGATGGCCGCTAGTTTGGAAAAGCAAAAGTGAAATAAAAGTATCGTCATTGTTGCAATATTCGTATACTACAAACATGACTGTCTTTTCTTTTATCGAGCAAATCAAAACAAAATGTTCCCACACAACTGGATCTTTTATTTTATCATTGCAGTTTTATGTATTTCGCATTTCCATTATCCAACATATAATCAACTACCAGGAAATAACGATGCAGGAAGTAACGATACATAAGCAAAATATAAAGCAGAATTTAAAAAACGGTCAACCAGTTCAGAAAGCAGACCTGTTATATGTTTATTATTACTATCATTTCTCTTCCAGAAACCAGTCCCTGGAAGTGAGCAAAGTGCTCAAGGATTCGACACTCTTTTACAACCCCTCAAATCCCCCTTGGGCCCTCGACTGGAAGACATTGCCGCCCTCTCCAGAGCCTCCAGTCGCTCTCCACTGGGCATGCCCTTCAGCTACCCCTCGCCTTATCTCGGGTTCTCTCCCCTGTTGCTGCAATACTACCCACAGCTCTTCTACACCTCGAGGTTTCTTCCGTCTCCACAAGTACCTCCACCTCACAGCCCCCTCATCCCGCCAGACACATCAGCTAGCTCTCTCATAGGAAGACTTACTCACGGGCACAGTCCTTATTTCGCAGAACCTGATGCAGCCCTTTTGGGACGTGAATACATGCAGTCGTCATTTTCACCAATGACGCCGTACAACAGATCACAAGCTATGAACCTTGCCAACGCAACAAATACCATTTCCCAACGAAGGAAGACTTTTAACAGCTTTGAACCACAGACTGAAAGAAAGACGTCTCCCCTTACATGCGTGGATTCTTGCGGTGACACCGTAGAGAATGACGATGTTGACCTCGACGTCACTTCCAGCACTGAGCCAGAAAAGGAAAATCATCTGAAAAGATCTTTCTCTGAAGAGAGTTTACAGAACAAATCCATGCATCAGTCTACAGCGACGGATGTTGCAAAGAAGAGAGACCACCCATACTTTAAACCCAGATCAAGCAGTTCTGAATCCCCGATGTCTCTTGTGTCGAAACCTAACAACGATTCTGGTTTCCTAGGCGACGAAGGAAGTGATATCGACTCTTCTGGACTTGAAACTACGACAAGCAGTAAGCCAGAGACGTCGAGCGAACAGAGAAAACGAAGGGCAAGTTCGCCGTCTTTGGGTTTGTCCATCACACCGAATCTCACCCCGAGGTATGGCGCACGGACCTGACGATCTACTTTAAGAGACATGAAGACCACCTCCGCCCCCCCCCCCCCCCCCCCCCCCCCAACCAGGGCAGTGCTACTGACTGAAGTTGTTTTTGTGCCATTCCCAAATGGTGGATATTTACATGTTCTTATGCACAGTAGAATTGTAAAAGGGCTGATTTATCAATGCCATTCTCATACTGTGCCAGAACAACATCTGGGGAACTGCTGCTTTTTCTTCCTCATCCTGACTATCGTCATTTTTCCTCTACATGTACTTCTTTTGTATGTTTGTCACTCTCTTGAGAACTACTGGCGCTCATATGAACTTATGCAGTTGCGAGCGCCGTAAAACATTATTTAAACTAAACTAAGACATGAAGACATGATGTTATCGTTACGCTCATAATTGCCTAAGTCATTTTTCGCCGGTTTGTTGAAGATTTTGGTTCTGAAATGAAGAGCAGAACCGGCTCGGTAATACATGTATAGTTCACTTAGACAAAAGAATAACATGAAATCAATTGAGTGTACCAAAATTCAAGTGTTTCCCAGAGTCTATCGTTCCAAAGAAACCGTTTTTCCTCAATTTCTCAAAATGGCTAAAATGACATAGGCATGTATCTTATGAGCTTGACGTCATGGTTTTACTTGTCGAACATGTTATATATTGTAGAGGTGCCAACCGTAATTTATTAGACTATGGTTATGTTATATAGTGCTGTTACTACTGGTTATAACAGCCACAGTGCTAGGTATCTTAAATGGCATGATGTGTGTGTGTATGTGTGTGTGTGTATGTGTGTGTGTGTGTGTGTGTGTGTGTGTGTGTGTGTGTGTGTGTGTGTGTGTGTGTGTGTGTGTGTGTGTGTGTGTGAGCGTGCGTGTAAGGGGGGGGGGGGGTGTCTCTGCATTTACAGAACAGGGGGTCGTTGGGTTTTTTTTCTTCTTATCTGAAATATTACACTGTGGCAGCTCACGTTCACTAACGAACACACAAAGACAAGAGGCCATTAGAGTGCATGTTTACCATCCACATAAAACAATGATTTCTGTGCCTAAATGACCGCATAAGCGGATGGTTGGAGGGCACCACTGATAGGTCTGCTTCTTCACTCTTCATCTGTTGTTTCTGTTGTTTGTTTTAATTTTTCCTCGAATTAAATCCTGCACGCTCTCTAACAATGTTCTGTCGTCTGCTTTCGTCTCCACTTTTTGCCTCCACCCTCTCCCCTCCTTTGCCCCCTCCTCTGGGCCCTTGGCTCTTTCTGCAGCCTTTCTACTGCTACTCCTTGGCTCCTTCTTACTGCTGTCTTTCAGCCACACCCCTGATCTTATACATGGTTCACGATGCAGGTGCCATGGATGGTTTCCAGGACTAGATAAGGTTTGTTGCGGGAGGAAAAAAACCCGAAGACATGTCAGCGGAGACTGTTCACCCTTCGAATGACTTCGTTGAATCTGGGATCGTTCATTCCTGTGTTCATTGAATCCAAGTTATTAATTTTTTAATGATGAATTAGAAAAAAGGGAGAACCCATTTCATTTCGTTGAATCCGAGTTTTAGTTGAAACCGAGTTCTACTGTACCTACTTTTTAAAAATCTGACCAAAAACAAATCGAATTTCATAAAATATCAAGCTTTTATGAATGCAATTCTTTGAATGTCTTGAAAATGGCTTGGTTTTGAAGGAGGAGATAGAGCAATTGGTTTCTCCCCTACGGTCTTAGTAACCTAAAACGACCAAAAAATCTGGGGGGGTTTGTGTGGTAATTGTTTTACGACACTCACAACTGCATAATGTCATATGAGTTGGTAGGAAATTTTGAATTTTGCCCGGGTGTAGGCTGAAGCCTATTCTTATCGATTTTAGACCACGAAAGGATCTTTAACGTGCGCAACTTGCACACGGCACTTCTGCTGAAAATTTTCGCCCTTGTCCGAGAAAGCTAGGGGTAGATCTTCCGAGTCCCAAAACATTTCAAAGTCGACTGTCCGTCTAGGATAGTGTTTGTTGATGAATTGCACTATCGAAAGGTCTCTGCTCGATGGATCCCAGAAGAGCTGACAGCTGACCACAAGACTCAACGTGTTGAAGTGTCTCAGACTTCGTTGAATCGCTGTCGCCAAGCTGTCACGGGAATCATTAACGCATCTGGAGACCTCCAACAATTCGATGAAGCATTCCTGAGAAGCATTATTACAGGTGATAAGACTTGGATACACCACATGACCCCTGAGACGAAGAGGGATTCAATGGTAAGGAAGCAAACGTCTTCACCTCCCCCGAAAAAGTTTAAAGTTCAGCCATTGGTGAAGAAACTCATGGTCACGGCTTTCTGGGATGCTAAGGGTGTTCTGCTTCTTGACATTCTGGAACCAGGACAAACTGTTGATGCTAACAGGTACTGCAAGACTCTTGGTAAGTTGAGAGAAGTTGTGTGCCGAAAAAGATCAGACCAGCGGGGTCATTTTGCAGCATGACAACGCAACGCCACACAACAAAAACGCCACGAAAGACTGGATCCAAAGGTTCGGCTGGGAAGTTCTGCCACACCCCCCTCACAGTCCTGACTTTGCAACGTCAGATTATCACCTTTTTGGACCAATGAAACGCCATATTTCTGGACAGCAATTCATAGACGACGAAGACCTCGTGGAAGTCGTGAAAGATTGGTTGACATCCCTTGGCAAATAATTCACCTTCTCCCAGATCCAGCTATGGGAAAAATACGTCCAGCGGGATGGTGATTACATCGAGAAGTCAAGCACATGATGAGGTATAATGTCTTATAGTTTTATTATAATAGGACAAAGATTGCTGCTTTTATGGACTTTTCCGGTTTTCCGTGGAACGGCCCTCGTAGATCTAGTATCATCTAGAGCCTTGCTCTATAAAAAGCGACGCAGAAAATATACTTCAAATTTTGAAAACGTCAATACAACGAAGTGTACATTTTGTGGGTTTAACGGACTCAATGTGTTGGGGACAGGACATCACTACACCAAATATATCTAGAAAAAAGTCAGTGCAATGAAGTTTGGCCTGAAGTACCCAATCGACAGTGCGAAGCACACATCCAAACAAAGTTGGATATCGAGATTCTAGATCTGGAAATAGGCTAGTAGTAGTAGAAGCAGCTCACATACACAACGAAGCACAAACTGAAACTAAAACGGATGTAGCCCCCAGTAAAATATGAAGTGGCCCATCGTATTTTTGTAGATTTTATGGACACCAGTGTAAAAGAATGTATACTGACCTCACAAACGAGCGCTCCATTATACGTTTAATAAGGTTCTTCTTCTTCTTCTTCTTCTTCTTCTTCTTCTTCTTCTTCTTCTTCTTCTTCTTCTTCTTCTTCTTCTTCTTCTTCTTCTTCTTCTTCTTCTTCTTCTTCTTCTTCTTCTTCTTCTTCCTATTATTATTATTATTATTATTATTATTATTATTATTATTATTATTATTATTATTATTATTATTATTATTATTATTATTATTATTATTATTATTATTATTATTATTATCATTATCATTATTTATTATTACTGTTGTAGTAGTTGTTTTTATAATTATAATGATTAGTGTGGTAACGATTATTACCATCATGATTATCATTCGTGTATTTCCGGTATTATCAAAGATTCTCTACTAGTAGTAGATCATCTTTGTTATTACATATTATTGCTTCAACGATTTCCGTTCTGTTGCCCACACTTGCCAGGGGAGGCCTTCTATTTGTCTTATCAAAGGGGGAGACCCTGTCTCATCAATTGTACATAGGCCAACACAGCTTTATTTGTTGGATTCTGTGTGGAGGCATAGCTCGATTAAAATTTGTCTGTACCGTCTTTTTTCGCTTGTTTATTCAGATATCTACTTGTGTAGCAAGTGCTGTAAAACTCTTACCATAACTATACGGTACATTATTCGTATAATATATAGCGTTGTCTCTTTCAGTTTGTAAAGCTTGCTTACTTGCTTTTGAGTAGTAAGCTTCCAAAGGCTATAGTCTACGTATTTAAAGAGTTCAAAATTTCATATTTAAAGTGTTTATCTGTCTAGCAGCGGTACATTTTTGTCACCCGGTTTTTTAATTTTCTTTTTTTTTTCTGTACATTCTCAATGTTATAGATATCCGCTTTTCGTCGTATCTTTTCCCTCAGTTATCTTCTGTCTTTATTTTCAAACTTCAAAATGGTGCACGAAGAGTTGCTTTAGATCTATATTTTTTCAATGTTTCTTTTTTTTTTTTTACAAAAAAAGTAAACTTCAATGTATGTGTCTATCATAGGCCACAAAGATCTGAGTTTATATTATTTCACCATTTGGTGTGCCATGTTTCTGAAAAAAGATGTAATAAAGATGAAATGCATAAAATTACAGCGCTTAGATTCTATCCAGTTAAGAAATGAGAAGTGAGTAGTGTGCAATCATTCAACTTTGACAATCAGCCAATGATGGAGACAATCAGCCTGCCCACACTGAAATGGTCCCTCACGAAGAAGGGCGAGGAAGCATGGAGCAACCCGTCTTTCTTAGACCTCAGTTCTACATTCAAGTAATTCAACGTTGACAGTGTACTGACATAAACAAACAAACAAACAAAAAAGCAAACAAAAAAAACAAACAAACAGACGAACTATTTTATTTTCTTATATAATTTAAAAGTGCATTCACTGACATAAAAAAGTGCTAACGATCTAAAAAGATTATTTATAAATGGATACAATTTTGTGATTAAGATTAAAATATACTAGAATTGTAAATTTCAGATACATCCATTCCTCATAGTGATTAAAAAGAATTTAGAATTGTAAATTGAAATACATATATAATAATATGTACTTAAAAGAGGGCACTTTAGACTTAACAATTTACAATTGATGTGGAGACCTAGTGATTGTATATCTCTCAGGCTTGCAATGGAAGGTCGTGGGTTCGAATCACTTCGGGGGCCCAATGTGTCCTTCACCAGAATTTTCCTCACTTCACCCAAGTAGGAATGGGTACCCACCGATAGACTGCAAAAGATCTTGTCAGTTCGTGAGTGTACTAGTGCATGTAATCTGCTGCTTGGACTGTATGCTTCCTGAGAAGCCGAGAATGTTTCTGAGTGTTCTAGGGTCTACTGGGTGGTAATATCAGTTGTAAAGCGCATAGAGCACGCTGTAGAGCGTGAACATGCGCTATATAAATGCAATTATTATCATTATTATTATTAATCTATTTCATGAATTTATAAAGGTGTGAAAGTTTTGATTTATAATAATAGTATTTTAAATAGCCCTCCCTTCAAAACTCTAAATAACGTTTCATACTAAATCATAATATAATACACATATAATTATATTTATTTATACAGTAAAACACAGCTAGGTTGATTACAGAAGACTCAAAATCACGCCGAAGAGTGTCTGCGATCCCGGGGTTTTTCTGCTTTATGTAATGAAAGATATCCCTCAAACTACGGATACCTCGAACTACCGAGGCCGGTCCCCACGAATTCGGGCTATCCGTGTTATACTGCTTATAATATATATGTATGTATGTA